GGACGAGGAGGAGGAGGAGGAGGAGTTTGGGTCGGTACGATCGGCATGCACATCCTGCCCATCTCGATCAGCAGTTGCTGTCGGCCTCTCCGCGGGCGTGGCCCGCTCGAGGCTGAACGTCGCCTGCCCGACAGCGGCCACCGCTGGTTTTGGGCGGCACTTGCTGCTGCGCTTTGTGCCCCGTTGCGGGGCGTGCCACTTGGGTGGAGGGTCCGAGAGCGTGGGTGAAGACAGCGCTCGGCCTCCTCCTCCACTCCTCCTCCTTATCCCATCACTCTCCCTCCTCCCCCCCCCTCCTCCTCCTACCTCCGCCCCCCTCCTTCCTCATACCTTCTCCGTCCTCCTCCGCCTCCACCTCCTCTCTACCTCCTCCCTCATCCTCCTTCATCCTCCTCCCTCCTCCCCCCTCCCTCCCTCCCTCCCTCCCTACGCGTACTCCCTCCCTCCATCCCTCCATCCTCCCTCTTCAGCCTCTTCCTCCCCTCCTCTCTCCTCTCCTCTCTCATTCCTCCTCATCCCCCCTCTTCTCCTCCCACTCCTCCTCCGCCTCATCTCCTCCTGCTACTCCTCCGCCTCCTTCCCTCCTCCTCCTCCTCCTCCTCCTCCTCCTCCTCCGCCTCCTGCTCCTCCCTGTCGCACTCCAAGGCCAGTCGGAAGGGCGGGGCCGGGCGTTTCGCTTGAGATTCCCTCACCCTGTATGATCCTGGAGCTTAGAAACTGAACCACTTCACGGGCGGAGGGCGGGCGGGCGGTTTTCATCATGTGGATCTCGCCTCGGCGCCGCACACAGTCGGTTGACAAAGTAGGCAGAGTTTTCATGGATTGAGGGCGGGTTGTTTTCAAAATACGTCCTTCGCCTTAGCGCCGCGCACATTCGTTTTGAAAAGTCGTGAGGGTTTCACGGATTGAGGGCGGCCCGTTTGCAACATGTGGTTCAAGGCCCAGCGCCGCGCACATTCGTCTTGAACATTTTGCAAAGTTTTCAAGGATCGAGGCCGGTGTCTTTTCAACATGTGGCTCTCGCCTTGGCGCCGCGCACATTCGTTTACAGCATTTGCAAGGGTTTCATGGGTCCCCCTCTCTCCTCTACACCACTAATTCATACAGTGGGGGCCCATGCCAAGAAACACCCTGCTTGCCTCCAGGGTGCCCTGGGTGTCTTGGGTTTCGATGGTTTTCCCCTGGAAAGCGTGACGTTCCCACGCCAAAAATCCATGGACGCCCTGGGGTCTCAGGGTTAGGTTTTTCTTGTGGTAGTTGTCCTGCGTTCGCGTCCCCACTGTACTACATCCCATTCTCCCTTGACTCTGTGCGGAACTTGTCCCGCGCCCTACCCCCGTATCCGCAGCGTGTGTTTCATAGGTGGTTGTTCCAGTGAAGCCGCCCTCGGTCCTTCGAAATGGTGCTGCAGCTACAGCGAGCGTAGGCCTCATGCTAGGATCGTCGATTTGTGCACGTCGTTCAGCATTGTATTCTCGCCGCCGCGCGGGCCACGAGTCAGGATCCCAATCCTTTTCTGATCGTTGTCGCCTCCTTCCCCTGGTCCGCCTGCTCCATCCGCTCGTTCCCCTGAGGCGCCTGCTGCTGCTGTTCGTCCTCGACCTCCTTCCTCGTCCTTCTATTCCTGCTAATCCTCCTGCTCATCTGCCACCTTCTCCTCCTTCTTCTTTACCTCCTCAATTGTACGCAGGTCACTATGCACTATGCCCGATTGCGCATAGCACGGTATCGCGGTGTGGTCTCTTGTGGAGTTCCAGGTCCGCTACGGCACGCGTCGGCGGATAGCCAGAACACATCCGCGCAGTAGGAAGGGATGGGTCAGAGGGTAACGCCTAGCTTGCCTCCCCCCCTCTCCATCCCTCACCTCTCCCTCCTCGCCCCCCTCGCCCGCCCCGTCCCGGTTGCTAGGTGCTTGGTTCCTTTAAGGGTCCTTTTCGGAGTCGAGAGAGTGTTGAGGGTCGTTTAAGACCCCTTTCGGAGTCGAGCGAGAGGGGGGGTACGGCAGATCGGAACTCCACGAGCTGCAGCGGTATTGCTTATCTTTTCGCAGGCGACGGGTTGCACGATCGGTATCCCGCCTCTTCCTCCCGCCTTCTTTTTCCCCCCCTCCGGGCGGGACGCCGTGGGGGCAGGGGGGGGGGGGGGGCGGGGGCCGAGAGCGCGGCGGCGGAGGGCGGCGCCTGGTCCTCGGGGGCCTCCTCGGGGGGGGCTTCGGGGGGCTCCGTGGCGGCCGTCGTCCCTTCGGCCGCGCCTCGTCGAGGGCGGGCTCGGGGGCTTCTGTCGTCGGGGGGGTCTGCGGGGCCCGCGGGGGTCTCCGCCGGCCACGCCACGTCGAGGGCCCTCGCAGGGGGCGCCTGGGTCGTTTGGAGCGGCGGCCGCCTGAGGCCGGCGCTCTGGCCCGAAAGCCAGCCGGAGGGAGCGGGCTCAACACTGGGCACCATTTCTCAGCACCATTACGATCACCATCAGTCTAGTGTTTTTGCTACTCGTGTTGGTGTCATCGACGCTTTCATCATTATCATATGATCCTCACCCGTTGCCCCTCTCTTCTCCCTCCCCTCTCCCTCGCCCTCCTCTTCTTCCCCCTTCTCTCCGTCTTCCTCATCCTCCTCTCGCCGACCCCCCTTCCAAGGGAGGAGACCAGCAACATTTTTGTGTTGCGGTGTTTGCGTGTGTCGGAGATTGGGTCACACGTCTTGGTCTTCGCCCCAGCCGCATGCGCTCAAAGGCGTGCGTCGGAGCGACTCTTCGTTTAGCTGTTTGTTAGCTGTGTTGTGTCTTGCGTGCTGTGTTGTGCAATCTGGTGTTGGGAGAAAGGTCTGCCCTACGGCGCTCCTGGTGGATGGACGGTCCTGCAGTCGCTTGCCGGTCCCTCTGCCTCTCGGACTCCCCTTCCTGCTCCCCTCCCTCCCTGCCCCTTCTCGAGGTTGTTCCTTTCATCCTCTGGCGCGTGACGGCCGTTGCCCAGCCCCCCCCCCTCCCCTCGGCGGCGAGCGAGGGGGCGAAATGAGAAGGAGAAGGCCATCTCGGATGGCGGCGGAACTTCTCAGGAGCCCTCGCGCCTTCCGAGAAGTTGTCCCGTGTCTTCGGGGAAGGCTCAGAAGACTTCTCAGAAGGCCGCGGGACTTCCGAGCCTCCTGGGAAGGCCCGCCCCTTCTCACCTCCCCCCCTGGCCGCGCCGCCGAACCCCCCCTCCCGCCCGCGGCAACGGCAACGTTCAGACGCAGAAGGCTTGCCCTCGACCCACCCCGCTGGTGCTCGCGCGCGGGCCGTGGCGATCGCAGCGCATTTCCGCCCCGACGAGGCCCACCCCGCCCCAGCGCTGCCGTTGGCTTCAGAGGGTATGTCAAGCCCACCCCGAACATTTTTTGTCTAACGGATGCGGACCCCCAGCGATATTGGGAATTGTCTATTCCCCCGCGGCGGCCACCGTTGATGATCGGGGGGGTGATGGTCTCTCACTGTGGTGATGATGATGCTGTTGATGATGATAATGATGATTCTGGTCATTATGATGATGATGATGTTGATGATAACGAGCATGATGGTCCTGATGCTGATGCTCATGATGATGATGGTGAGGATGAGGATGATTCTGATGATGATGATGCTGATGCTGCTGCTGATGATGATGATATTCATGCTGATGTTGATGTTGATGGTTGCGGTGCGATGGCGATGACGATGAGTATGACGATGGCAATGACGATGACACATACAATGACAAGTATGATGCTGCTGATGATGCTGCTGATGAGGACTGTGAAAGTGGTGATGATGATGGTGGTAGTGATGGTGATGATGCTGCTGCTGATGGTGATGGTGGTGATGGTCAATGTCATGGTCATGGTCATGGTCATGGTCATGGTCATGGTCATGGTCATGGTCATGACGGTAGTGACGATGATGATGGTGATGATGATGACGATGATGTTGATGGTGATGGTGATGCTGGTAATTGTGATGTCGATGTGGAAGAAGGACGACCACGAGGTGGGGACGGACGAATTTCATTGCTATCGTTCTCCTCCTCCTCTTCGTCCTCCTCCCAGTCGGCGTTGGATACCCAGGCAATTTGAGTTCCGACGGAGTCATTCTCCAGTAACGAGGGGAGGGAGTAGGGGGGGAGGAGGGACGACGGAGAATACACAAAACAATCCCTGCAGCCATTCCGATACCGTACCTTTTGCGACTTCTTCTCGCGTGAAATGGTCGTAATTTGGTGATTGAATTTTCTTGCGCCGCAACTTTCCGGAAGTCTATCGAGGATTGGAGTGCGACTTTATTATTTTTTGTGTAAAAAACCAACGAGCCAAAGATGAAGAGAACGGGTCCGCCGTACCCCCGCTAGGACATGCTAGGTTGCTAGAGGTGCCATTTGCGAACAATTGGTTGACCAGCTGGACAGCGGTCGCCAGAGGGAAGATGGAGGCCCCGAGGTTCGGAGGTAACCAGAGGGTGCCAATGCAGAACCTCGAAAACCCGTGAAATAATCAGAACTTAGGGAACAGATGTAGCAGGATATTGAAGACCAACTGCTCCAATGGAGTTCAGTAGGGCCTACTGTGCATTCACTTGGTCGGCGGCGAGCGAAGATAGACGACAACGGTACGAGGGAAGATGGAGGCCCCGAGGTTCGGAGGTCATCGGCTGCGACCGATGAAGAGCTTCAACAACCCATGGACCCCTGCTCTTCAGGTGATGGGAATTTCACGTGCCACATCTACCCTGATGCCGAGGGAAGATTGGAGAGTGACCTTGAGGCAAACGAAGAGACAGAGAAGTAGAGAACGATAGTTTTGGACAGGCGGGCACTGGAAATACAAGATGACTTGAGTCGGTGGAACAAGAGCCCGAGGGATGTTGGAGAGCCCGAGGTTTGGAGGCCACAGGCCTGCGCCAGTGATGACCCTCGAACACCCATGGTCCCTCTGTCGGCAAATCGGGACATACTGCAGGAAGTTTCTGGTGTGCATCTGACCAATGGAGGTTTCTTGCTCAGGGCGAAAGGGATTCAACAACAGTTGTCTCCTGGTCTCACGCAGCTAGGAAGTGGAGGATGCACTGACAGAGTGAGATATTCACAAGGTATGGAGGAGGCAAAATCAAATTGAACCCGGCAGAGATGATCCAGCTCAGTATTGCTATTTAGACCGAGCCAGAGAAGCCGAAACAATAAGCCATATGGTCCGTGACGCATTGAAGTACGATTTGTTTGGGCAGATTTGCTTCCGCGGTGGAAATTCAGCAACATTTGGACCTCAGAGGCATGTGCTGTACTTGTTATATTGTTGAAGACGCCATTTCAGAGTGGGTATCCTTAGGATGTGTTATCCAATTGGAGACAATTGCGCGTCCGTAGGCCGATATGCACTTTGAAAAGGGATGTTGTGTCATTTCCTTGCGCGCGCCGCATGTCTTCCCAGATGTTTGGAAGTAACCGTGGCCTTGCAGTCCATCTCTGAGCGGGCTTGGCACGAGAAAACATTTGTTTCGGCGCAGCGAGAGGAGGCGGGGGGAGGGGGGAGGGGGGGGGGGGGACTCTGTTCAAACGTTGCTAGCTAGGCACAATCACCATCAGGCCCATCAGCAGGTGCCTGGGGTGTACGGGGGCCCCCTGCATTCTCTCACCCCCCTCTCTCCCCTGCGTTGCCTCCCTGTCTCTTGTCCTCGGTACATCTTCCAAATGCGCCGCAGGTTCCCCCAGATTTTACAATGTAAAAGTGTGACATTGCAGAGGAAGGAAGAGGATAAGTGGAGCATCTCTGAGCGCGTTTGGCGCGGGGAGCGACACATGAGCGCGTTTGGCGTGGGAAGCATCTGTCTCGGCGTAGTGGGAGCGGATAATACGAGCGGGGACATCTCGGAGTGGTGGAGCTCTTGTGTCTGTGGAAAAGGGGGGAGGGGGGAGAGCGGGGGAGGGATGAGGACTCTGTTCGAAGCGTTGACAGCATGATGTAGGCATAATTTCAATCAGGCCCATCAGCAGGGGGCTTAGCGTGCAGGGTCCTCCTGCTTTTGCTCACCGCCCTCTCTCGCCTGGGTTGTCTCCCTATCTTTCGGCCACGGTCCTTCTTCTAAGTGTGCCGCATGTTCCCCATTTGTTCTAGTGTATAAGTGTGACCTTGCAAAGGACGGAAAGAGGATAGGTTGAACATTTATGAGCGCGCTTGGCGCGGGAAGCGAAACGTGAGCGCGTTTGGCGCGGGAAGCATTTGCTTCGGCGTAGTGAGAGCAGAGAGCACGAGCGAGGACGTCTCGGAGTGCTGGAGCTCCTGTGTTGGTGGAGGGGGGAGGGACGGGGTGGGTGGGTTTTTTCGGAGCACGGGCGCTCTGGCTCACGAATTGCACAAAACCCCAAATTCGGGAACCCTGTTCGCCAGCGCGCCCCCCAGAGAGGGCGCGCGAACTGGCCAGCAGCTGTTCCACTCGCACTGACCCGAGGAGCTCGTCTTAATCAGCGAGCCTCTTTTACGGGGCCACCTCGGAGTTTGCCCCCTTTGAGCTTCGGGGTAGCCCTCTACCCGCACCAGGAGAAGTATGGGGCGCGCGGCATACTAATTTATGGCAGGGGATTTTGCCAGACGCGCGCAAGGCACCAGTCTAGGTGTGTTGACAGTGCCCCCCTTTATGCGGATGTCCTGTCCTGTGTGTTCCCCCTCCTCCCGCCAGCGCTGCTCTGCAGAGGGCGGCGCTGGGCAGCGTGCCAGGCAGTTGCATCCATTGCGCCTCAGACTCCCTGCGGATGCCCAGCAGCGTTGCTTGCGAAGTCGGGCTCGGTGGATTGAGAACGATTCGCTGGGTTCCCAGAGTTCCAATCCAGTCCAGCCCCCTCCCCGCCGCTCTCCCGGCAGGACCCCCGGAGGAGCGCAGTTCTGCGGCCACTGCAGCCAGCAGCTGGAGGGCGCGGCCGCGTGCCCGGCGTGCGGGTGGAGGGACCCCGCGCGGATCCCGCACAATTGCACGAGGTGCAAGGCCCGCCACCGCCTGCTACTCTTGTCGGGGGCGGCCAAGAGGGGGGTGATGACTAGCGGGGGGTGGATCTCATGGCGCGGGCCGTGAGAATCCCTCAGATTTCATGACGCCTTTTTTATGTCATTGACGTCCCTGGCCCCCCCCCCCTGGGTCGCGCACGTGGCGCTGGCCATGATTTGCGCCCCCCCTGTTGGACACCCCCCTTTTGGCCGCCCCCGATTTTGCCCTGACTGGGGGGTCCTTTGTGGGTTTTCGGGCCTCGTCTCTTCGCTCGGTCGTGGTGCCTCCGCCGCGGGGTCTTCCCTCTGGCCCTCGCGGGTTCGCGTTTTTGTCGGGCCCTCGTTCGGGTCCGCCTCTGCCCGGGAGTCAGCGTTTGGCTCGAACTCGCGTCCCAAACAGAAGGCCCGCCCCCACGGTTTTAACCCCCCTCCTTCCAGATCGTTGGGTGCCATAGATTTTCCTTATCGCGACTGACGAGATCGATCGCTAGCGATGTTGCGCTAAAATCCTGTATCGACCGCGACCGATTTGCTTCAAAAACGGTTGCTACCCATGGCTCGCGACCGTTCGGCCGCGATCGGTGAGTAGAATGGGGTATCCAATGTTATGGGTTCCCCAAAATCCAGCCGTCGCAATTTTTCTTCATCGGGCACTTTCAGCCCAGCTTCGGGCCCAGGGACCATTACAGATCGATCCAGCCCGAATACGTCGCAGAAACATGGGGTTTGAGGCTTTGGTGGTGAGTTTTCCCCTGTGTTGCGGTTTCCTGGCAACGTCGGACTTCAAGGTCCTTCTTCTCTGTGTTGTCTCCTTCGCTCGCTGGGCTCCTCCTCTCCGCCTGCACTGGCCGAGGTACTGCGCGCCCCTCGAGATTCGTGCGGGTCCATGGTCGCCTCGCTGATAGCGAAGAGAAAGAGAGAGGGAGAGAGAGAGAGAGAGAAAGAGCGAGAGAGAGAGAGAGAAAGAGAGAGAGAAAGAGAGAGAGAGAGAGAGAAAGAGAGAGAGAGAGAGAAAGAGAGAGAGAGAGAAAGATAAAGAGAGAGAGAGAGAGAAAAAAAGAGAGAGAGAGAAAGAGAAAGAGATAGAGAGAGAGAGAACACAAACAAACACAACAACAAAACTGAAGGCGTTGGAATGAGAGCTTGCGATGTGTCGCCGCCAGCCCAGTCATTGCACACCATCCCCCATCTTCGGGATAGCGTGCGCCGAAGAAGCCCCGGCAAGGGGACAGCGTGCACAGAAGGGGCCTTCGCGGGGGGATCGCCTCGCAGAGGTAGCGTGCCTCTCGGAGGTCGATGTTGCAAGCGATGATTCCAACGCCAACCGTAAAAGGGGCCCGCAGCACGATTGGGTGAAGGTGGCGGTGGCGATGGCGGCGATGGCGGCGGCGACGACCGACGTCGACTCGGGGCTGGACAGCGGCGGCCGCGGGGACTCGCACTGGCGGAAACAGCACGTCGTCGGTCGTCTGGCAGCGACGGGAGACAACGGGGTCGACTGCACCGACAGTGGTGCGCAGGCTTCCCGCCTGAGGTCGCGCGTGAACGCGCCCTCTCCTCCACGCGGTGTGCCACGCTGTCGGCCCGCGTGAAATCCACAGCGAGACGTGGCTATGCCATCTCGCGTGCCTGGGGCGGGGTGCGAGAGCACAGGGTCTACAAGCGTTCCAGCAGGGGGTGCGCCCATCAGAAGAGACCTTTGCTTGACAACCGGGGAGAACGCCCAACGCTGCAAGGGGGTCACTGATACAGAGCATGCCTTCAGCAAAACGGGAGGGCATGGCCACCTCCTGCCACCCCTCTTCCTTTTTCTCCTCCGTTCGCCGGCCACGCGCAGAGGGGGTATGGGGAGGGGGGAGGGCTTCTTAGAAACACCCCTGCTTCTTAGAAGGGGCGGGCCTTGTCTGTAGATGTCAGGCCCGCGCCTTCTGAGAAGCAGCCTCCTTCCAAGAAGCCTTCCCCCATCCCCCTAACCCTTTGTGCGCGCCTCCAAGTTTGTCGTCCCCGTCCCTGTCGCATGCTTTGCTTTCTTCGCCCGCCCGGGGCCTCCCTGTCGCCGAGCCGCGGTGCGGTGGCGGCGTGGGTCGCTGTTCGCCCACGGCCCAATGGCGAGCCGCCGTGTTCGAGGCGGCCGGCGGGGGTGTCAGCCTTTCAACGGGCGGCTGGAGGATGCTGAGCTTGAAGTCGAGCCGGACGACGACGACGACGACGACGACGACGACGACGACGACGACGACGGCGACGGCGACGGCGACGACGGCGGCGGCGGCGGTTACGACGACGACGAGGGCGATGACGGCAACGACTATGACATGACAGGACGAGGGCGAGGACGACAATGACGATGACAGGGTAACGAGAGCGATGAGGACGGCGACGAGGATGTCGACGAGGACGGCGGCGAGGGCGACGACGAGGAAGAGGAGGACGACGAAGACGACAACCCCCTCGTCGGAACGCCCGCAGGCGCCAGGAGGTAGCCACGCTGCACCCGTCGAGCCTCGACGGCGCTCGTCCTCTGCGGACAGCGCTGCTCATCACTCTTCCTCGTTGCCGTCGTCTTCCCCCCTTAAAGAAAATCGAAACGGCACACGCATAAACTGTCAGAGCTCTACGTGGATCTCCTGGATCCGGGCCCTGTGCCGCCCCTGGCGCGTCTGCGCGAGCCAGGGAGAGGGGTCAAGCGCCGATCCGAGATTTTCGCGTGGAACTCCGAAAGTTAATGTGTACTCAGCTTTTTTGGTTCATCCACCAAAGGTAAGGCCAGTCATGATCCAGCGATTCCCGAGGCAGAAACATGCGATGGGTCTGTCGTGAGGACAGAGACAGGGCGCTCGGTCACGATCACGAGCGGTCACGATGCAGGTCCAGGGCCGATCCGAAAATTCCGCGAGGAGCTCCGAAAGTTTATGTATAGGCCGTCTGTTCTTTCACTGCCCCAGCCCTCGTCATGTTCATCCTCGTCCTTGTCCTGGTCGTCCTCCTCCCCCCTCGCCTCCTAATCAATCGTGGCCCAATCTTGTTTC